TTACAAAAATATACTATTACAAACGCACTATCTACAACCCCCTCCCAAACCCTCTATAAGACATTATGAATACGATTATTACCATCCCTCCCCCTCCCCGTTTACACCAAAAGTTTATACATCAAAATCTAGCATCCATTCATTTAGGCCCTGTCGAAATAAATTGAGTGTGTTCGGTCTACGTAAGTTAATCGGTAATTCATTATATAATTTAGATCCGCGATAAAAAAATGTTCGTTTACAATAATTAGTTTTAGGTTTGGGCAAGACTAAGTTATCGATATTTCTTAGGGCATAATTGGTTTCTTTGTAAAAGAGATTATTCTGCATATAGTCTGGAGTTAAATTATGGAAAATCTTATACAGCATTATGTACATGTGCTTTTTACGTCTGGTTTTTAGGGATTCCCATTTTAAGAGGTCGTGAATTTGATGAGTTGAAGTATGATTATGAGGGTTTATCTTAAGGATTATCCTACCAGCCCTATTTTGAAGTTTTTGAAGTTGGTCCAGATAGTTTTTTTGGGAGGATTGCCATATAATGTCAGCATAATCGAAATGAGGAATGACTATTGATTGATAAATTAGATTAAGAAAAGATTCATTTAAAATGTGTCTCAGCCTCCCCAAAAAGCTTACCATCTTTCCTACTTTCTTAATTACTTCACATAAATGTAAGTCCCATTTTAATTCAGAGTCTATATTCATTCCTAAGTATTTAATGTTCTTAACCTGATTAATAACATTACCACCTAGTTTTAAGTTTAATGTTTGATGTTTATGAAGCATTGACTTCGTTCCCATTAACATAGATACTGTTTTCTCACAATTTATATAAAGTTTGTTATGGCACATCCAATCAGATAGCGAAATTAATTCATTATTAAGAACAGACTGTACAACAATAGGGTTTACATTTGAGAAATAAATAACTGTGTCATCTGCATATAAATGCAGATGACAATAATGAAAAGCATTAGCTAAATCATTGATGTAAATTAGAAATAAAATTGGACCAAGTATGGAGCCTTGAGGCACACCATACGTTAATATCAATTCATTTGAAGAAACATTATTTATCGAAGTAAACATTTTACGGTTAACCAAATATTCATAAAACCACTTATGCATTATACCATTTATACCAACATTAGACAATTTTCTCAAGAGAATTCTGTGATCGACCAAATCGAAGGCTTTTCGCAGATCAACAAAAAGTGCTCCTGTATATAAACCCTTATCAACTGATTGAAGCCAGTCGTCCGTAACCTTTGTAAGAGCGGTACAGGTAGAATGTTTCGGCCTGAATCCCGATTGATCTTTAGTTAAAATGTTGTTTTTTTGCAGAAATTGGATTAAGTGTTTTTGTACAATCTTTTCTAATATTTTGGACAAACACGTTAATAAAGATATCGGTCTGTAATTATTGGCTAAAGCTTTATCACCCTTTTTATGTAGGGGGATGACCTTAGCCACCTTCCATCTGGAAGGGACTGTACCTTCAGACAATGACCTATTAATTAAATATGTGAGAGGTTTCACAATTTCCAGTGCACAGGCTTTCAGCATGTGAGAATCTATTCCATCAACCCCAACTGATTTCTTATTCTTTAATCGATATATTTCTTTCAGAACATCTGACTGTGTAATTACAGGAACAGAAAAGGTATTTTCTGTGCTCTCAATGGCTTCGGTACTTTCAAACTCTTCATAACTGATACATTTATTACCATTACTGTTATCAAATTGTTTTCCAACATTGACAAAATGTTCGTTAAAATCATTTGCTACTCTTTTACATTCATCGATAGGGAGGGAAAAATTCGTAGCTGATTTCGTATTGGCAATTAGTGTTTTTAATACTCTCCAAGATTTCGCTCTATCCGTACAAGCACCTAGTTTTTCAATGAAATATTGTTTCTTTACTCTCCTTATTTCAAACGTTACCTTATTTCTCAAGTGTTTGTATTGTTTCCAGTAAACGTCTTGTTTTTTCGTCTTTGCTTTACTTTTCATTTTATCACGATCTTTCATGAGCTTAAATATACATTCATTCAACCAAGGGGAGTGTTTTTTGCGTACCCTTTTCTTCTTCAATGGCATGTATTTGTCTATTGTGTCTAAAAAGAGTACTTCCCATTTGTTTACAGCTTTATCGAGGTCAATACCTTCTTCTACCTCATCCCACTTCTGCGATCTAAGATCGGCATTCAACTTTTCAAAGTCTACCTCATGAGATTTTCTAAATGTTACATAATTTACAAAAGAATCATTATGGTTGACGTGAGCTTTCCAGACTAAGTAACTCATATAATGATCACTCAAACCATTGTGTAAGACACCAAAAGAGCTTACTTTGTCTAGGCAAGTTGTTAACATGTGATCAATTAATGATGAGCACTCAGGCGTTACTCGAGTGTAAAAAGATTTATTAATTTGACACAAACCATATATATCATTAATTTGTGAATATTTACGAGTATCGCAAGTAAGTGGAAGCTTGGCAATGTTATAATTAACATCGCCCATTAATATTATTGGAGTATTAAATCCTCCTAAATATAACAACAATTCTTCATAGGACTCCAGTAGACGTGTTTTATTTGGCGGTCGATACCAATTTATAAAAATAAAAGGCTTTGTATGCTTCAAACGAATCAGAATGCAAATAACTTCCAGTTGATCTACTGAACTAGGCACTATTAACTTTTCAAATGTAACATTCTCATGTACGTATATGGCAACTCCTCCACCTCTTCTATCTCTATCATTCCTAATAACATTGAAATGAGGTATACTTATTTCACTATCTGCAACTGAATCGTCAAGCCTGGTTTCATTTAGAGCTAAAATGTGAATATCATTATTGCATAATATAGACCCAATTTCATCAAAATGCTTCAATAAGCTAACGATGTTCAAATGAACAAATTTGACACCTTTATCACATAATTTGGAGTATATTCTACTGGATTGATTACTTGTTTTATTAAAATGCCTATCCAGTTTCTGCTGTCGTTTACTTCTCTCCAATTCTGGTGGATGATTATGATAAAAAGGTAACTGTTTCAAAACACAACATGTGCAGATCCACGCTATGAATAGTTCAGAGGGATCATTATATGATGCGTCAGACACATGAGCGCATGATATATGTACCCATTTTCTACACTGTGTGCATAATAGACCTTTTTGATTTACCTTAACAGACTTTTGGCATATCCCACATAGACAATCCCTAACCATTTAGTATTTTATTTATAGATCATAAACAGAAAAAACAACTAAAACATATATCAATATCAAAGTACAAGGACGTTAAAGTTCTAGCAATGCACCACGCTGAATAAAAGCACTAAATTACTCAGGCACTATAAAGTAGATGCTTAAGTCATTTCAAGTCACTTTCGTTGGTGATTAAGCGTTTGATTGTTTTGCCTCCAGTAGTGGGGAAGAGGCCAAGAATTCTTCCGTCTAATGACCACGCCGCTAGTATCTTTCCACATTTTTTCGCTTTTGACAGTAATTGAGCATTTGACTGGGTGAGATCTTCTTCGATACCCATCTTTGTGCCTTTTAGCTCGCGACGTTTGGAGATGACTAATTTTCGCATACGATAAGAAACGAACTTAACAATGATGACATCTGGTTTCGGTTCGTCGTCTTGTTTAGGCGCATTGCGTGCATTACTCCTTGTCGTGCGGCTCGGAGGCTTCAAAACTTCTGGGTTCCTTGAAGGAAGTCGGTGCGAACGTTCGATGTCTTCCTTCGTCAAGGTCACTTTGAGCTTTTCTTTGGCGATTTCACAGATTAGGGCATCAGTATCTTTGCCCTCTTTCTGCGCGACTCCATAGAATCGCAGACAATTGCGTCGCGAATATTGTTCTTGGATGTTCGCGGCTCGTTCGACCCTGTCGAGTGATGATTGTTGATCTTTCAGTTGAACTTTTAAATTCGCGATCTCCTTCTCTCTTTCATTGATGCTGCATTCGAGGTCCATAAGCTTTCCTTCATTGTTCTCAACGCGAGTTAAGATCGTATTAATCTCATCGTGAATTGCTTCACGGACTGCCCGGCGGATGGAGTTGAGAAATTCTTCTCCTGTTATGTAGCGTTGAATGGCGTCATTAGCAACGGATAAGACCGTGTCACGTGTGACATCTGTAGACATGATGGCGGCAAATAATGTTCAATCGATTGATATATAAATATTAGGCAGATTCCAATTAACGCAGTTGACTTAAGCAGTGATCAAGTTATAGGTGCATTTCATATATATAGTTATCAAAATATCACATTACATGATGACAACAACAACAAAAAGCACAGCACAAGGTCAAAGTTACATACCAGTACGTACGGGGGCAGATTCCCGATAATAGTACGTGCTCGTCTATATGTGGTATATATACAGAGCTTCGATGATGAAATCAAATATAGTTCGTCAGATTCCAGGCTTAATATCCAGGCAGAATATCCATGCAATCAGTCGGAATACAAACAAAAGTAGCTCTAGATGAAATATATAGTAAATTCAGTATATCCAGCTCAGAAAATAGTGATTTTCCTGGCAATAAACGGACTCCTTGCTCTTACTCTATCCGTGTAGAGTGACTGTTCGTAAAGTTGCTGATGATGATCGAAGAGGTCTTAAAGAACTAGAAGAACGTAAGGAAATCAAATCTGAAAGATATTTAGGGGCTTGACCATGAATAATTTTGTATGTAAGAAGAAGAACTTTAAATGTTATACGATGGTGTATGGGAAGGCAATGAAGAGAACGCAATATTGGGGGTTATGTGCTCAAATTTTCTCGAGAGAGAGTAACAAGCCTTGCAGCAGTATTGTGAATTCTTTGAAGTGGAAGTAGTTACGAATGCGGAAGGCCGGACAAAAAAGTACAATAATCAAGGTGGGAGGATACAAATGCATGGGTTAATTTTGCAGTTGTGGGCCGGTCAAGAAGTTTCCTAATTTTCCCAATTTTAAAGATTCCAAAAGATGCCGATTTACAGACGGCCATTCCTTTCATGTCTTCTCGCTGGATCTGAAGAAGATGATTTACTAGCCTATACTTCCCCCAACCCCTCCGTAGAATGGTTTGATCCAGGTTATTCCAATACATGGTACATGAAGGATGAGGATAATGATGGGCGAGACGACTATTGCAGGTAGGTTTTATATTCTCATTTGTATCTCTTCTCTTCATTTATTGTCTAGATTTAACAAATTGCATTGTATTAATATTTTACTTTACAACATCGAAAAGATTCAGATGTCACTTGACAGAGACATATATGAGAACAGTTTGTTGTGACATAATGATCAAGTGATTGTTGAACTTTCATTAAATGACATTATTAATTATCTCCAATATTTATCAAAAGGTTCACTTCTTCTTTTTGATGAGTTTTTTCCAAGCATCTAAATTACCTAGAAGACACTGTCGAACTCTCAAAGACCGGTGCAATGCTCTTTATAGGCCTACAGAGGTCGATCCATGTAAGGGCTTATATCTAAAACAATGATGTCCATCACAAGCGGGTGTTAAGTGGAGATTGAATAGGAAATAACACCAGCTACCGTTATTATCAATCTTTTTTCTTTACAGATGTATTGGTAGTGTGCCCTCTACGTTGGTTGTCTGTATGAAAGCTGGAGCTTTATTAATTCTGTTTGTGGTACGACAGTTGCCTCAGTCCAGTAATGATGATAATTTCTTGGAAGCGGTAGTTAGAGCAGGCAAAGAAATTTTGAAGGTAGACATTACCATGGAAATGGTAAAAAGTCGCCTCATATAACTAATAAGTCCATATCAGACCTATTGATTGTACAATGGAACGCACAAGGCTTGACGGCGCATGGCGCAAACTTTTTATCTTCCCTTATTGATAACAATTTGTTAGGTATTCACCCAGATATAATGTGCATCCAAGAAACTTGGTTTAACGATTTTAATGTTTTGTCTATACCCAATTACGTTTGTGTTTGTAAAAACAGGCCGGACGGCAGAAGAGGTGGTTTGGTGATGTATTTAAAAAACGACATCACTTTTCAGGCGATGGATACACCCAGGAACGCCGAATACCAAAAAGTTGATATTTTTTGTAAAAACGGAGTTATCTCAATCTTCAACTATTATAATCCGTGTAAAAAGATTGAACTGATAGATCTAAATAACATTTTTTTTTTTTTTTCCATTTTTTGGACCCTCCAACAGGCCATTTATTGAAAATCAATCTCAAGATAACATATTTGAACACATGTTCCAATGAATATCATACAATATTTCATAATAAGATATACATAACGAATATCAACCATAATACTGTATATACAGAACATACATGTAGATAAGGGAAAGAAAAACAAATATTAAATAATAATGCAACATCATGACTGAAAATGATATGGGAAATTCAATATACTCCTATTAAAGGATCAAAATCCTCTCAAAATTTATCCATTTTTTATCGAATTTGTCAGTTTTGTTAGCAAATATACTAACTTGCCTCTCATTTGTGTAACTATTCTTGATATATTGTTTTATTGTCCGAAAGGACGGTACAGACTTTTGTATTCGAGAAAAATATAATTGTTGTTTAGTCCAAATTATTATACAGTTTAAAGCATCATTTCTTTTTTCAATGAAACCTAACAAAACATGTATTAAGGACAGTTTTATTCTACAGCGTGTTACAATAGTTAACCAGTCAGTCAAACGACTCCAAATCAATTTGGTCACGTTACAGGAGTAAAAAAAGTGTACCATATCTTCTTCTTCTTCTCTTCCACAAAGGGAACAGTTCTTATTCAAAATTATGTTAATTTTCACAAGATCTTTATTCAAATATAGTATCTTATTCAAAAGTCTGTACTGAAAGTACCGAACTGTTGTATGCGTTGTACAGCGAAACATAACCCTGAAATAATATTGCATATATTTATCATCAAATAATACACCATCTGCATGCCATTTATTACATAATTTATTCAAATGTTCATCCTTTTCTTTTAACATAATTTGATAAATATGTCTACATCCTTTTTCATCTTTCAACAAGCATGAAATATATGCAGGGCACAATGGTCCATTTACCTTCATATTACAACTTTCCAATTGGGACTTGTATTTGCATTTAATTATTTGACAGAGTGCATAATAATGAAGAAACTGTATTTTGATTGAAAACTTTTTTTCACACTCTTCTCTTGCTAAGATGTGTCCTTGATCATCTAGTAAATCGTTTAAAAATCGAATACCTTTATCACACCATTCTTTTAAAAATATACCCTTTCCTCCAATTTTAATCTCAGAATTATACCAAATAGAAATAGCTTTCCAAAAAGGAGTAGTAGTACATTGAACCTGGCGGACAAAATAAGCTAGTATTTGGAAAAGTTCTTTCCAAAAACAGTTTCTTAGCATAAATGATAATTTAGTGAAATATATATCACCTTTACCCCATTCCAATGATGATAGTGGACGTAAGAAAGCGTACATTAAATGGGTAACGTCTTCACATGAGTTCAACAATATTCTTCTAATCCAGGTCAGTTTTAAAGCTCTAGAAAATTGTACAACATCAACCATTTTCAATCCACCATTTTCGTAAGAACAAACCATCTGTTTTCTGCTAATCTTATCAGGTTTCCCTTTCCAAATAAATTTAAAAAAAGAGACATTTATTGCTTTTAAAAGATGTTCAGAAGGGTTAGGAATGGACATAAATAAATGGTTAAATTGCGAGACTAGCAGTGATTTCACCAAGACCACGCGACCAAAAACAGAAATGTTACGTTTCGACCAAGATATCATTTGCCTTTTTAGTTTATCAAATATTCTGTCGTAGTTGAAATCCGGAAGCTTTTCTAAATCAATACCAAAGTCTATTCCCAAATACCTTATGAATCCCCCGTTAACCAACGATATGTCAGTCCCATGAACCTGATGTAAATCAATATTTACAGTTTTTTTCAAGGAACCGATACACAATATCTGTGTCTTATTTATATTAAGATTTAAACCTGAATACTGAGAAAAGAACTCCAATAGCTCCAGAGCATAATGTAAACTTTCTGTACTATCGAGACACAACACTGTATCATCAGCGTATTGTAATATTCTATATTCCTTGTTTTCTATAACTAAACCTTTTATCTTGTGGGATTTTCTGACCAACATGCCTAAAATTTCTGCACATAATAGATCTAAATAATAATAGATCTAAATAACATGATAAGAAATGTGCCGGGGAAGTATTTGATTCTAGGCGACTTTAATAGTCACAATCCTCTATGGGGGAGCAACAAATTAGACACAAACGGTAGAACTGTGGAGTCTTTTATAGAAAATAATGATTTGGTTTTATTAAATGATGGATCTCCTACAAGGTTAGACCCATATTATGGTACATACTCAAATCTGGATTTGTCCTTAGTATCGAAAGAATTAGCACGTAATACAGAATGGAAAGTACTATCCAATAATTTTGGCAGTGATCATAATCTGGTTTGCTTAAATTTTAAACATGTGTACAATAGACCAGGGGGTGAGAATATGGGACAGAGATGGTCTTTTAGAAAGGTTAATTGGGAAGAGTATAGAGAAGAAATTGAAGAGGCATTGAGAAAATAAGGATATGAAAATCTTGGTGCAGAACTAAACATTCAAGGCAGATACAATGTGATTGTTAAGGTGATCAAGGAAACGTCGAACAAGTGCATTCCGCGTGTGCAGATTGCCAAGAGAAGAAAAGTAAATCCCTGGTGGAACAATGCCTGCAAGAAGGCGGTGCAAGAGAGAAATCGTCTTAAAAACAGGTTAAGAAGGTATTATGATCTAAATGATGTTAAGAAATACTTAAAGAAGAAAGCTGTCGCTCAGAAGGTAATCAGGAGAGCTCAATATGATTATTGGTTAGAGTACTGCCGTAGAATGAATAGATTTACAGACATTGGGAAAGTCTGGGAACAGGTTAAAAGAATGCGGGACAGTACAATGAACAAGCACATCTTTCACAATCTATTTGTAGACGGAAATATCTTGAAAGAATCTGAGGAAAAAGCAAATGCAATGGCAACCTATTTTAAATCGGTTGATGAATCACTTTCCGTAACTAAAAATAAAAACGAAAATATCTTGTACAATAATTCTTCAACAAATGATGATGATTGTATCAATGATGACTTTAACATGAGTGAAATGGGGAATGTTTTAAAGGAGATGAAAAACTCCTCATCCGGTAAGGATGATATTTATTTAATTATGATTAAGAATTTGCCGAACAAGGCACTCGTGTATTTATTAAACTTGTATAATGACATTTGGAAAATCTCACTTTTTCCACATCAGTGGTATGAGGTTATTCAAATACCAATCTTGAAATCCGGAAAAGATCCGACTCAAGTGACCTCTTATAGGCCGATTTCGTTGATATCAACATTCTCTAAAATTATGGAAAAAATGATAAAAAATCGCCTGACGTGGTTTCTAGAAAAAAACAGACTATTAAATCCTATTCAATCTGGCTTCCGCAAATATAGGAATGTCAAAGATCACTTAGTGAGATTGGAGACGGACATACATATATCTACAAATATATATATATATACAAATATACCGTAGCGGTCTTTCTTGATTTAGAAAAAGCATATGATTCACTATGGAAAACAGGTCTACTAAGAAAATTATCTATCTTAGGCATTGGTGGAAAAATGTTACTTTTTATAAAAGCATTTCTATTGAGTAGGATTTCTAATGTGAGGATAAATAACTATATGTCTCGCCACTACACGTTAGAAAATGGAATCCCGCAAGGAAGTTCATTAAGTCCTTTATTATTTACTTTAATGTTAAATGATCTCAAGATAAATGTAAGTGATGTTAAATTATCTTGCTATGCTGATGACATTGCAATCTGGTGTTCAAATAAGGATTTAGAGCTGGCCCGCAGGAAATTACAAGAGGCCCTGCATGAGCTTGAGATATGGTGTTGGACGTGGAAGTTAAACGTTTCCCCTACCAAATCTGCAGTATTAGTCTTTACCAACAAACAAAAGAAAGATATTCTTCTACAAATAAAAGGACATAATCTGCCTATATGCGAGCAGTATAAGTTCCTTGGTGTGAGGTTTGACTCCAATTTAACTTGGTCTGTCCATATAGATTCTATCATTGATAAATGTAAGAAAAGAATAAACTTGCTACGTTGTGTCTCCGGCACCCCCTGGGGAAGTAAGTATGAGATTTTGATGATGATTTATAAAGGACTTATCCTATCCATTTTGGACTATGGGAGTGAAATGTATGATTCTGCTTGTATATCTTTAACAAAAAAACTTGACTCTATCCAATACAGAGCCTTAAAAATTATTACAGGCACAATACACAATGTGTCCTTGGAGGCTTTACAAGTTTTGACCGGGGAGCTGCCTCTGAGATATCGTAGAAGGTTGTTAAATGATAACTTTCGAGTTTATTTACTGTCTAGTACTTTAAACCACCCAACAAAAGAAGTATTGGGTGATGACTATGATTTAAATAACTTAGAATGGAAGATAGGAGAAGGACCTTTTAAACTGCGATCCTTTAGAGACGAAGTAGTGGTGGAAGGGCAAACCAACTTATTGCCGAAAATCCCAGAATGGCGGT